GGGGGGGGCATGAGAATAATAATTCCAGGAAAATACAAAGGGCGGTGGGGAGGAAGTGGATAGGCGATGGTGACGATGGTCGCGGTGGTATATGGGAGTGGGGAGGGGCGAGGGGCGCAAGCAAGAAAAAAGAAAGCCCGGAAGCGACTGGAAAAGGGAACGAGAGAAAGAAAGGTAGATAGTAATAAATTCCTGGCTGGTTTTCATTTATCCGTCATTGTGGGGCCACGTGCCCTTTGCCTGCGAATCCTTTCATTCTCTCCTTCTCTCTCGCTCTCTTTGGCCACGTACTCTTTTGAAGTGGCACTTTGCTGCGAAAGCGGCTCAAAGTTCACAGTCGGTTTGGAGATATATATATATATATACAGAAATAAAAGAGAAGAGAAAAAGGAGCTCGTACGAATAGGCGTAGCAAAACGAAGCAGAACGTGTCAACACGTTAAAAAGTAATCAAGAGGAAAAAAGGAAAAGGAGAGAAAGTAAAAAGAAAGAAGAAGAAGATAAATTACGAGGAGCAATCATTGAGTGGAAGGTAATACCAGTCCCGCGTTCCTATTACATACATATATATGTATATATAGGAGTGATAAAAGAGTTTCTCGATATCTTCATTATATTTAGTACAAAGTACGTTCGCGTAAACTCTGGAATTTCCGTTACCTAGGGGCAGTTTTACGGGAGTGACATTAAAGTAAAGAATCAGACGAAGGGAGGGACGTCGACTTCTTGGCCAACGGGGTAACGACGACGAGGCTCATTAATTCAACGCCGGGCGTCCCGACGACGAATTATCCCAACGCGAGTTCCCAAACTGGCTACGAAGGGGAAGCGATTCGCTCTCTCTCTCTCTCTTTCTCTTACTCTCGTCCCGTAATGGCGGTATCAAGTTTCCCAGTAGCAAAGCATAACGAAACTCAAGAAAAGAGTGAAACAAGTCTGGAGTCTGGACCGGGAATATCCGGCACGGGGACGAAGATCTCCTGGGAGCAACAAAAGGACAGCGGAATAGCGGAAAAGCAAAAAAACCGAGATAAAACTTTTAAAAAAATTGAAAGCAAAAAAAATACAAAAGACGTCAAGAAAAACGGGATTTCCTCTATTAATAGAATTATGAGCAGAATTCTCGATCGTTGAATGAGAAAAAAAAACCCAGCAAGTAGTAAAGGCACGGGGAATTGATCAGTCACGCATCCCCAGGTACGTAAGACGCACACGTCACTCGGAATGTGCGTACGCGTGCTTTAGCCACGGGAATGTCTGTGCGATATAACGTGATAAGCCTGGTAAGATATATTCGATAATAAAAAATTAATAATACCAGACGCCGTACGAAAGATCGTGAAGTGGGTTATAAAGATAATAAAGAATAGCTTAAAATTGGGAGGAACCAATCGACTCTGTTTCCATGAACGAATGGTACCAGTGAACTCTCGCATGGTAGCCAGTGCTATAGTATGTAGAATGTACGTGCAGTAGGTAGTACGTCAGGTATGCGCCCCAATGGATACCGAGTGAGTGTGATGTCAGAGTGAATTCTGGCGGCGCTGGCACTCCCGAAATAATGTCCGACGAAGGAGAGTGGCCCAGGCATTCTAAGAGGTTTCGGCAGTCGACTCTCTCTCTCTCTCTCTCTCTCTCCCTCTCTCTAACGCAAACCCACTCTCTCGCGATGTACCGCGAGCGGTTACATAATTTCGGTAATTCCACCGTGCACCAGGAGCCATCACAACAACCACCCCAATCGTGATCATGATCATCAGGGACACTTGTGAGGATCAAGGAGTTTGATTAGGTACAGTCAAGGAGGAAAAAAAACAAAAAATGGTTTATAAGTCATGAAGGAAATTTACGAATTAAGGAAATAAAAAGGATGCCCCCCCCCACCCCCCGGTGGGTGGAGGGGTAATTGAAGGGTAGCGACTGCCGTACTGGTCGTCCCGAGGGTGGTTTAGTACCGAATACGTAAGGGGTGCTGGTTCCGAGTGGCGCTGCCATGAGAATGTCGAATCAATCCTCACCGTCAGGGATTCAGCGAGGTGTATACATATATACACGTCTATTATGTACATACGTGATACATATGTGGCTATATTACATATACTCACCGTGTCACCGCGAAGGTGTCCGATGTCGTGGTTGAGGTTGTAAAGATTAAGAATTTTATGTCACATGAGCCACTTCATTGGGGCCACTTTATATATTGTTAACAATGGCGTAACGTGTCACACGTTATGATTAATTATTCGGAACTAGATTTTAAATTACGCAAAAAATTCATTCGCGAATTTTCGTTTTCCTTTTTTTTTTTCCTTCTTATTCTTCTACCTCAACCGTCTTATTAGTTCAGGTGGCTTTAATTGTCTCTAGTATTCCTTTCTCTCTCTCTCTCTCTCTCTCTCTCTCTCTCTCTCTCCAGCCTTTCGTCAACTTCCTGCTCTCCGTTTTCTCCTCTCGGCACACCGTCGCCTCCTGGTTTCTCTTTCTTCGCCGGCTTTACGACTCTCACGCGCGTTTTCCTCCTTTCTCAGGAGGAGCCAACCGAGACGCGATGTGCGCGCACTAAAAATAAACCGGCTTACTGTTTCCCGCACCTTTTGTACCGTGATCGACACATTTATACGGGATTCTCGGGCACTCGCGCTCAATCCCGGGCTCAATCTTGATGGTCGACGGTCTCTCGCGGCTATCACGGAAGCGAACTGATGCCTGCCGGTTGGCCCTGGGCCCGGGAGAACGTCTTAGCAACGACGATGAGAGCGGAAGGTGTTACACGGGGGGTAGGTTAGAAATTTTCAAAGAGGTCAAAGGGCACGGATTAAGAATAATGGTAGCCCGGGAATTGAGGTAGAAAGAAGGTCGTTGAAGAATAGGGAAGAGGAAGTGAAGGATGGATGTAGGAAGAGCCACGAGGGGCAAAAAGAGGTGGGAGGTGGTTGATAACCGATAAGAAATTAAAGGTACAAGAGGGAGGATGACGATGCTATATAGGGTGGTGGGGAAAGAGAAAGGGAGGAGAGGCAAAGGGGCTAGTTTCCTTGAGTACAGTCAAACCGGAAATGACGTAGGAAATTAGAAGAATTAAAAATGGAGTGTTTCTTTCCCGTCTTTCTTTTCGCCTTTCTCGCTGTCTTTATCCTTGTCTTTTTTTTTTCTTTCCTCACTTCCTTCCGTCCTTCCTACGATCTCACTGAATTTTCACGTGAGCGACGTCGCAGACGAGGGATCGTCGTACTTTCACACTGATTGTCGCCGACGACGCTCCTGTGCCCCCGGGGTCGACGGTGGGATCGGTAACGTTGGGCGTTGACGATATCAGCCACGGTGACTTCACTTTCTTGGGTGGTTTCGACTGAAACGACCAGTAGTCACGAGAGGATCCTCCTGGCAGGATATCTGCAGAGCTTGACGCGACAATGTGGATGCTGCGCGATCGCAGCGTCGACGTGGGTTCGCGACGACGACGATGACGACGATGACGACGATGACGACAATGACGATGACGTTCGCGTAGTCACAGCAGATAAGACCCAAAGCGATCAAACGGAGGAGCGGACGATGACACAATCGGGCCCGTCGACTGACAACGATCTTTGCCGATGCTTCGCCGAGCAGTAAACTTTCTCCTTGGCGCCTCTTTTCATAAATAAATTTTTTAAACTCGATTTGACCGTATAACTACAACGACCACGTATATGTATATATATATATATATATGTGTGTATGTAATATAGTTTATGTATATAGATATATATAATATGCGTACAGCGAGAGACAATGAATATTCGTAGGTTATGCGAACGCGATAAACGGCATCCGTTGAAACTTTATTTATTTATATATATATATATATTTTTTCTTCTTTTTAAAAGAAATCCGTGCGGCGATGTGTCGATATATTATTAATATTATTATATTATTTTTGCTGTCGTTTTCTTATTTTGTTTTTCTTTGGCTTTTTCTTGCTTGTTTGTCGGCGAAACAGGAGGGAGTCAAAAGAGGGGAGTCCTCGGTGTCCGAAGAGAGATAGATGTGGGTCGGTGCACGATGTGTACGGTACTGCGGTCTTTGTCGGACTGACGCTTCTGTGATCTACGGGAGATCGGGCCGGTCGCGCATGCGCACTGCCGAGTTCATCCCCACCACCATCGAGGTAGGCCCACTAGCTATAGATATACAGCGCTGGCACGGGCAGAGCACAGCAAGAAGGGCGCCTATGCTGTTCTCTCTCATCGTCACTGACTCCAACGCCGGCAACCCGGGCGCACCGTGTTCTGCGCCCTCGTATTCACCTAACCTAACCTAACCTTTCCTGACCCGCTATACCTTGTCCTGTCCTCTTACTTCCCTGGCTCGTACCCCCTCCCCTCAATCGCCGTCCATCCCCCCTCCCACCCCAATCGCTCCTTCATTTACCCTCTTTCTCTTCCTCTTTCCTACCTCTCTAACCTATCCTATGCGCTCCTATAGTATGGACCTTCTGAACCCGAATCAGACCCTCGCGAAGTCTCGCCAATCCTGCCGGCACGACCTCCTTTGAACGAAACTGTACCAAAGGTCACGGGGATGGGTTTTTAGATGGTCGACATACTTATATATCCAGAAAGCTGTTGGCTCAAGATCTTCAAATGAGGTTACGTCAGATTACGCCTACGTAGGGGGGACGTTGAACGTTTTTCTTTTCTTTTTCCTTTACAAAGATAAGACGATTACCAGCGTACACTCGATGGGCTCAAACGTAGAACGTAAGTCGACACGCACTCGCCTTACAACCGATCCTCGTCTACTGCGCATGCGCAACATTTCTCCTGCGCTACAGAAGACAAGTCCACTAAATAGTTTGGATACTGGAAACGATGGAAATATCTATTTCGTGCGGGCTGCTCACGCGGCAACGTCGCCGCGGGGCTCGCGAGACGGCCGACGTCGCGACGCGCGAGAGAATTCAAGATGGCCGACCGGCTCCCCGACGTGGATCGCCGTCGGTGTGTTGCCACGCACACGAACGGACGTCGCGGCTCCGTCGCACCGAGCCAGCGTCGGCGGCGTTCAAATCGATTACTAAACACGACGTCACTAGGTCATTTTACATGGCAGAATGCCGCCGCGGATTCTACTACACTCTCCGGCCCTGGGCTGCTTTATTTTTACTCCCCGTCCCACCCCTCCATGCCCTCTCTCGCTCACCCGTCTTCTTTCACCCATTAACCGATCTCCTACGGATCCCCGTCTGACAATGACATTACCTCTTCCACTGCAAACCATAAAAGTCCCACGGCTGACGGTTTACCGACCGTTTCTACTTATCCCTTTTATCAATCAAATTCTACGTAAATTCTTTGCATCCTCGTTTTTCCATTTCTTTACGTATATCTGACTATCGTATACTTTTTCTTTTTAATATCTCGATATACTTCTGATGCGCGGAATTTCTAATTACTTAGGTCTTCTCTTGTCTGACCGATCAGCCCCTCCTTACTATACGTACAGTCTACTTCCTATACTGGTATCTATAAGGCCGTGTCTGACTATTTCTTCTATTCTACTTCCATTGTCATTATTCCCATAAGTGTATATACCTATATATATATGTATAAGTACTGAAGACAGCTATTTGCAGAAACTTCTTCATAACCTTCGCACTGCCGTACTTGAATATTCTTGACGTTTAATTCTATCATTTATACCATACACCCGCGTCTGACGGATTACGTACTATATCTACTACTACTAATGTTCCTGTGCTATACGTTATAACGTCAGCCAGTCTGCCGTCTGCCCACAGCCGAGTCTTTGGTATATTTCTACTTCCATCCCATTGCTTCCTTCGGCTGCAAATTAAACTGGGACTGCGTGACTGCATTCGCGCCAGTATAAAAGATACCAATGACATAATGGCTGGTTTCCAACGACACCACCCGTCCAGCGGTTATTACAAATCTATGTTAACGCAGGTATCAACGTTGGATCTGGCAACGCTGTTTATTCCCCGTGGGATTATTATCTCTTGGAATTATCTGCGCTGTGCAGTCTACAAATGCGATAGAAGTCAGCCTTAAGGCTCATTCGCAATAGCATAATGCTGATCGTTTGATAGGATTAACTGCCAGACAAGGGTTTACTGTTTTGGTTTACGGTTTGGAATCTCCTTTGACGTTTCTTGCGATAACGCAAAATGCCCGTTTTCAATGATAAATTTCATATTATTATTATACACTTTGAATATTCCTCACGTTTCCACGACAGGCGGTCCTATCGATTGTCGTTTCTTCACTTTGCAAGGCTGACCGGTTTAACGAGGCTTCAGAAAATTCTCGAGAATCCAGTCACATCTTTATCTGTATTCTGGTCTCGGATCTTGTAGTAATTCTGACGTCATCGTTTTAAAAGTATGCGAGTCGTCATCCATTCCATAACAATTGTCATCGACGTATCCGTTATATGTACGAATGACGTCACACTGTCATCGCAATGTACCTAACGAACTGCCTCGAAATGAAGTCAGCCGATAAAATTGGTATGACGCGTTTGGATGGGAAAATAAATAAAATTCGGGCATTTCATGAATTATTCATAAGGATCAATGCATCCCTGAAATTATTCAGACGATAAAAACGGTGCACGAGTCAAGCAGTTCTTATGCGATCATCCTGACATCAATGCCCGATATATCAGCTGTTATAAATCTGCCAAGTGTCACGTGTGTCTCTGTCGGTAACCGGAAGTGCGAATCGCACCGAACGTTACCGACATTTTACGACGCAATTCCCATTGGGAGTTTGGAATCTCTTATGCACTGCCAAGTGTCTGCGGTATGCGAGGTGAAAAAGAAAAACAGAATAGTAGAAATAAAAAGGCTATAAAGTGCTTCGTGGAATCCATATTATTGGAAAAAGATGAGGGAGCGAATAATAGAACAAATTGTTATTGTTCCAAACTGGCCGATTTAATAATTGAGAACCCACTCGTAGATTCTTCTTCGTGCTTTATTAAGACTAATGAGAGATACTCGAGCAGCTAAGTCAATTCTAGATTTTCTATAGTCCATTCGAGATTCGTCTTTCCATAGTCGATGGATGAAAGACCAGCAACATTTTTCAATTTTAGGAACCCGAATCGTATACATAGAGTTAATACAGATAGAGCAGACAAGCCAGCTCTCGACGCGGCAGCGGCGAAGAGAGAGATAGACGCAAATCAGGGTGCTTGCTGTCGGATAGCTGAAGGGGTTCAGCTATCTCTTTCTTTCTCATTACGAGCGAACGGACACTTCCACTTGCAGAGCAGCCTATGGCTTGTCTGCTCTATCTGTATTAACTCTATGATCGTATATAGCTCCACTGACTTGGTCGTTACGTCGACATCGTGACTGACTTCACTATGAGTAATGAATTTAACGACGTCCCAGCGTGCATCACGCGTCACTACGAGTCTCCCTTCTATCTCTGGATCATCGAATTTACTTGGAAATCGTAGAGTCAAGCCAGGATATCGTCATTGGAGATGGAAGGCATTCCTTTCGTGTAGGATTCAATTATTTCGAGTGTTTAATTCAAATAAAGGTTCGATTACAGGTTTGGCTGGTTGAGAATACTGGAGAGAGAGAGAGAGAGTGGTGGTGGTGGGGGGTATGTGGATCACATTGGGTATTTTGGAAAAGTCACGTGACCATAAAAAATTACGATCTAAAGACAGAGAGAAAGAGAGAGAGGACACGTATAATATTTTTTTTTAAAACTGTATTAAATTATTTTTAGGACTCAATTAAATAAAAGATCAGGCAAATCGTGGAATCGTCGAGAAGAATAATCGGACGAGTGTCGAGGAGTCAAGTGGCGGAGAGAAAGAAAAAGGGAGAGGAAAAGTATATTGAATTAATCGATCATGAGCTTCGAGTGTCGCGCGCTTTAGTGTTAAAGTTCGTCGGCACTTTGGTAAATTCAAGTGGGACGCAAAATGAGCAACTTTCATCGAAATTCCCCTCCCCGCCACTCCCCGCCGTTCCAGCCCTTAGGTTTCCCTGAAGCTCCACTAGAAAATCCTAATGCGTTAGGGAATTTGCATTAATTATGACACTAGGGATAACTGCACGATAATTGAAGGAGACACGCAACATACCGTGAGGCAGTTCACGACCTTTGCTGATCTTATATCCGAATTTATTGTGTCGTCCTCGGCCGTAAGAGCCTCGTAAAGAAGGGGGAGAAAAAAAAAATTTTTAATTATAAAAAATTACGCACTATTAATTGCTTCGTGGGATACGAGGTATACAGTGGACTGAATTTAGGAAATTTATTTTTGATCGATAGTGAAAAATGTTTGAAATTTATTAATTCTCCGTGCAGCGAACGTATCAATATTATTGATAACTGATAAGCAATGTAAATGTTGGCTCGTGTAAATATATGGTAAATGAATAACGCGGTGGTGAAATCAGCTGAAAATTAATTGAACGATTGACTGATCGTTTAGAGGTTTACTTGTGGTGGTGAAAGTGCACAGGAAATAATAATAATAATGAATGAAATAGAACGAAGATAAATATTTTGAAAATTAATGAGAAAAATCAGGAATAAAGATAAATTTAAAAATTTTTCATGTATCACTGGCGTAAATTAAAAAAAGTTGTATTTCTCCTACGAAAGTACGGAGGTTAAACGTGTCAGGTAATTATTATAAGGTTAAATTGCAATCGGGAAATTTCACGTAATTTCAGTAACGCGATTGCTGCCCTCTGGCGGTAATCAAATAATTAATTCGCTTAAATCGCCCTGGGATTTCACGTAAACGCGCTTGTTTCTAAAGCTTCGATATATTGGTTAATAAATTGAAGTGAATCAGACCATTTGAATTTCCCGCCGCTTTTATTTCCTGACATTTATTTCTTAATTCGTTCCTTTCACATGATTCCTCGTACACAATAATTTATCACAGTGGTCCGCGTTCCGTCAATCCGCACTGATATCGACGTATCATCGACTCGGAGTCACAGTTTACGATAATACCAATCAATATGCAATAATCAATAAATACCATGAATAATAATAGGAGCGTCGATACGTTAGCTATAATACGATGGTTTCTCTGACGTGA